GGCTGAAATGGGCGACACGCTTTAGCTGTTTGCTGAGTTTGCTATTATTTGAAAACTAGCAGACGTCAGCGGTAGATGGATTTGTACTCTCCCAGTAATACTCTCTGCCTTTGCTATGTTGCGTTACCAAACGTTTTCAGGTGGCACTGTTTTGTCCCTCGCTGCCGCAGCTTTTTGCTGTTTGCGATTGAATCTTTGAGTATTTGCAGAATAGAGGTTGGTTGCTTCACTCTGTTGGTGCGGTAGTCTTGGAATTGCCTTCAGCTCTTTTTCTCTTGTTTGGCAGTTGATGTCAGCAAATATTAACCGGATTTTACTCAATTGTAGTGGGAGTGTAGGTATGCTGTGGAGGAGATGCAATGTGAAGTGGTGCTGGTTGTGTAGTTGGTATGAATACTTCTCTCCATTTAGAAAGTTTTATCTTTGACAGGAGAAGGTGTGTATGCATCTTTGAGTGTGCTTTACTGACCACTCTTCACTTTAGGGGCAAGTACCCGTTCGTGCATGTATTGGTTATGTTGGACAGGTGAACCTTAGTAGAAGTAATTTTCGGACGACTTATCATCTTGTCGACCAACTCGGCGACTTGAAATGAGGCGAGTGGATCCTTGGTAGTGAGTCCATTTTGCACTGTAGCCTTGTGAAATTAACTACCATCATTTTCGAAGAAGTGTTTTATTCTGACCAACCTCATGACCTTATGAGGTTAGGCCACCTATGAGGGGTAGTGCGAATCACGAAATCGGAAGACATGTTGCAAGTGAAGTAGGCTTTGGAGTGTCTCCTGATAGACGGTGGTAGAAGTAGAAGGTCGTGAGGAAAAACTTGGCGGGTACGCAGTTGTCCACAGAGGAGGAATGGATGACTGGCAGAGTAAGTCAAGTAATGTATGATTTACTACTATGTCACTTGAGAGGGGGAGTTCGGGCTACCTCATTGGAGACTGGAGCGATTTCATCTACGAATACCTGTTAGTGCCGGTCTTCTCCATCCTCTACCAAGATCGTCAGTATTGTTGCTATTTTGGAAGATGCTGTGTAAGGGATCTTGAGGTGGCTGCGGTGCACCTTATTTGAACGTCTGACAGCCAACGTTAATTGCAGAGGTGAGTTGGGTGGATTCGCTGGAGGCAAGTTGGATGATCTAGTGTAGGCGGGAACCACTTGGTGTTTGTTTGTAGACCCAGCATTGGAATACAATTTGGCTGCACCATGGAATGGAGGACCCGGGCTGTTGTTCATTGCGTCTTCTGAATGTATTGGCACGCTGTATTGTTGTCAGTTGGAGGAAGAGATGGAGTTTACTTAAAGTTGATTGAGCTGTTCTTCTCTTCGAGGTGGGAAACACCTTGCAAATGAAGTGGACTTCTTTCAGATGCCCCAACAACCAAGCCGATACCGTTCAACTCTTCCTTACGGCGGTCAACTGCAACGGCCACAATTTGCATCACGGAATATCGCCTTTTTTGGTTCTGCCAAATTTTGGAGCAATTTTTATCCTCGTTTTTATCCCCTTTCCGTTTTTTGTTTCTCTTGAAATTTTATTATTAATTTTTTGACTTTACACCCGACGCCATGATTTCATGCTGAGTCGGAGGACAGTCAAGAAGCTAAGACCTCTTGAAAGGTATAAAACATCATTTCTTTTTCACTAGTTTTTCAGGGCCATCTACACGAGGAACTGCATAACTTTTGTAGAGCGTTGGTTCATTTCCTTCATCGTTGTATTGACAGCTTTGCACGTGTTGACTGCTATCTTCACAGCATGTACTGATTGAAGACTTGAACTTGTACCTAAACCGCTCTGTACCACGCAAACACGCACACAGTGTTTTTTTGCTTAGTTTTAATCTTTAAAAAATGACTTTTTAAGTAGTCGTCCCTAGCGTTGAATACCCTCTGGAAATCGAACCTCGCAACCTAGTTCTTCTCGTCTGATTGGTCACAAATGCTGGTGTCTGGATCCACTGCTCCGTGTTACCAGCGTTCAATCAACAGCAATCATGTAATCAATCATTCTCTTTTCATTTCATCCACTGTTGACTTTAATCAAGACATCCGCTTTAAAGCCCTTATGGCTTTTATAAATCTGGTTGATTGATCGCCAGATTTGTCGATGTCTTCTTGTGGCTTGATGCGTCTGGAATAAATACATCTTGCAAACTTACCCCCCTAGGAAGGAATAATTGCATTCTATAGCAGTACTTTATTCCTCCCTGTAAATCAGGTTTTTGTATTTTAAACCGGGATATTGAATATTGAAAGAGTAAATCGAACATTGCTATTCTGCATGGAATACAGAAGGCTATTGCGATTCCTAGTACGTGCACACGCGCCAGGACGATTGTGTTGTATACATTGTGCTAGCTGGGTAATCTTGGGGACGACAGTCGTGGCTACGTGCAAGAATTCACCACAACCGGCACCACTACGTGACATGAGTCCGCTCATCTTTGAATTGTTTACACCACTCAAATGTCATACTGCTACGCATCTTTTGCAGGCACCAATTTCCGCGGGTTCTTCGTCAATGCCAGACATCTCATCACCGTGGTGACTACTTTCTACTATGAGCTAGAAACGGGGCTACACTATAGCACTACGGTAGACGAGTTCCTGGGGAAGTAAATCTCTTCTGGTCTTCTACTTTTAATTTTTCAACGTCCCAAAACCCTATGCATTGTAATGCACCTCCAATCGGCGGAAATGCGTCATGTCTCGGAGGGGGCGGGAGAACCTCTTCCATCAGGTGGACCCACAACACCTTCTGCCCTCCTTAATGGGGACAAAAAAATTGACTCGTTACGTGGCTATTCTCCAATATGCACTAGGTGAATCAGAGGGAAGTCTTTAATGCTCTCCTCACACGTTATGGATACGTAAGTTTTTGAAATCGAGTTTACTCGCCGTAAGCTTTAAATTCAGAAATACCCCGGAGGTAGAACTGAATGAGATGACTAATTCTGGAGAACGAAAAGATGTGTAAATATTTTGCAAGGGAATTTTGGTCGACAGGTGCTTTTTGAAGGTCTATTAGGAGGGAACGTCTTGCACCAGAGCACAAGAAACTCGCCAGAACCAGATAACCGCTAGAAAGAAGGACATAAAGGCTGATTAACGAACTCCATGTCATTGTTGCCATGGAAGCCTCCTCATGATAAAATGTGTCTCACGTCCATGAAGTGACGATGAACCTTGATGACAGGAAAGGAGATGCTACGGTGAATCTGCCCTAATAAATTACGAGGTGCCTTGAGTCGGAGACATCGCTAAACTCTGGATGGAGTTTAACAGGTAATGCGTTTCTTGGGCGACATCAGCTGCATGGACAAATGTCATCCAACATGACGTGGAGAGGTTAAAGTTGTGCCACTCCTTCCTTAAGCAATTGACAAGCATGCACTTGCGATGGCTGACAAGTCGTGGTTGACCGTTTCTTTACTTAAATTATCACGAGTCGTGACATTAGACAATGCTCAAAAGGCATCGACGAATTTTGTGGCGCAGGCCTTGTGATAAGACGAGGTGTCAAGGCAAGCTGACTTCTTTGTCGTAATTTCTACTGCTGCAATTGACGGAGGCGAGTGGATACAAATAAGGCGGCCACATTGTCGTGCTCAGAAGTGCGTCATGACCTCAATGCATGATTCAGCTGCTTTGTCATCACCTTAAACATTCTCTTCCTCTCTCACTCATACACAAATCTTGGGAGTGTAGTAAGGCATAAGTGAAGAGTCGTCGGTGGTCATTTTCCCCACACGTTTTGGAAGGCACGACATTGAGGTGCGCCCATCGCGGAACTGATTTCCCCGATGTACTTCTCCACCTACTTCCACTCTCTGCCTCCACTACAGCACTCGAGTCAAGAGAAGTAGATGCAGTGCGCCCTACCAGATTCGCTGACTCAGTAGACACTTGATCGCATGACCTGATTTGACAAGGTGTCCTCAATTGTCTCAGTCCACTCACGAGGGCTTTCGCGTTCCCACAATCACTGCAGCTCATCCTCCCTTGTACCGAAAGGCAATGAAAAGACTAGTTGGGAGGTCTTTCCTCCGCTCCGTCATTGCAACACTTGGCTGTGGGGTGAGTCGAATAGGGCAGAGTCGGGAAGGTGCACTTCTGATTGACATAAGGGCGATTGTCTGTGTGATTGAAGAGTGCAGAGGGCTTAGCAACAGGGAGTGACGCCAATGGCAAGCAGTAGACGCCTTGTGTGAAAAGGTGGGTGGTAAAGAATAAAGCCTAAAGTGGTGAAGAGGTCTGTTTTTTGTATTCTTGTAGGTAGACATCTACGGATATCGACGTTTGAATTGCTCCAAGTCAAGCTGTTTGGAGCATCTTGGACGGCGGTACAAGTTCTACTTGGCAATCGAAAATTCCAACTGTCGGGCGTACCTAACAGAGAAGCTGTTTCGCACTGCCCTGAGGTGAGTGGATTCAAATGCTTCAGTGCTGCTAGACTGTTCTTCCGCTTAACACTCCATCCATCCATTCATGCTGTATCCATCCATCCTGCATCCACCCACCCATCCATCTGTCCAATCAGCTGTTACGTCCCATTTGCAACAAATTGACGCCACAGTGGAAGGAAAGACAGTAGGAGGCCTAAAGATCACCAAAACCCCGAAAGACATTCCCATGTCGAGTGTTCCGAAGGTTTTACTTTCCTAGCCAGTTCGCAAATATTGTAAACCATTGGGATTCCGACCCCGCCCCCTTCTGATTGGCTGATATCACGTATCAGTGTCTACAAGGGACTTAAAAGCACTTGATGTCCTTAGAAGTCGATACTAGTCGGCTGGCTGTCAAATACGCATGCTGGCTTATGCCCCTAGGCAAATAAGCACATCTACGTGGCGGACTTTATGCATTGAGTTGACAAAATTCATGCACGCGATCGCAGACACCAGTTTATAACAGGGAGGCAAAAGAGGAGGTAGAAAAGCAGGGAAAGAGGACGGCCGGAGAGAAGAGCAGAATTGGCGATAGAAGGCCACTTTCTAGCACCGATACAGAGATTCCAGGGATTGAGGTGCTCCTCAAAGTGACCTAGATGGACACCGCCACCACTGCTGCCTTGTTGTTGAAGGTAACCGTGATGGTAGAGAGCACAAAGGCGACAGAAGGTCATTGAGGCTTTCTGTAGGAACCGCAAAAGACAATTAAGTAAACTACTCTCGCCTTTGTTACCCGTCGGACGTATCACGCACCCTAATGGTCCCAAGTGCCTTCCAAGCGAAGAAGGCGGCGTAAGCAGTGTCATTTCCATCCAAGTAGCGTAAATATTCTGCCAAATGAGCAGGCGAGTGAAAATCGTCTACGTGGATGTAGGAATTGGGCGGTGCGAGATTGAAGTAGTCATCTGGACGTCCTCCCATTACTATCGGCACCATGTCATTTCTAAAAAAGAGAAAGGAAATTCATTCCAGACAAGGTTCCTTTTGGAGCAATTAAAAAGCTCTTAGTGAAGGGTACGTTGCCGAGCAGTTGTAGGACAACTTCTAGCCAATTCCGCAGGGAGGAGTTTAAAGAACGCACCATGAGTAGTTGCACCCAGGTATATGAATTCCACATCCATCGCCAAGAGATGACATAACAAACTTCAGTAACCACTATAAAAATGTCTCCTTGTTACAAAGATGTCTCCCACATGTCAATGTGTGGTGACTGACGGATGAATGAATGGATACATGGATGGACAGATGGATGGATGGATACAGGATGGATGGATGGATGGAGGATGGATGGATGGATAGATGAATGGGTACAAGGTGGATTGATGGATGGATACGGGATGGATATAGGATGAATAGATTGATAGAGTGTTG